TTAGCAACCTTCTTAAGCATTAGTCTAAAATGGTTCTCTTCCATTTGAAACACATATTAGTTTTACTTCTATAGCTTCTTTGAAATACTGCATCTCTTTATGACACAGGATTATTTCGTTCAGGAAAATACAAACATCAATAATTCTAAGTGTGATGGTTTGGATATTAGGTGTCCCCCAAAAGCTCACATGTAAGACAGTGCAAGAAGGAGAAATTATTGGGTTTTAAGAGTCTTGACCCAGTTAGGGATTTAATCCCCTGATAGGGATTAACTGAGTAGCAACTGAAGTAGTAGGGTATGGCTGAAGGTGGTGAGAATTGGGGCGTGGCTTTGGGTATATATTTTGTATATGGCCAAGTGAAGAGTTGCTGCAGTCTGGCTGGGCACAAAATCACGAGCCACTCAAGCAGGAACAAACTTTATTTTTGAAACTGCTGCCAATGCCTCAGACGCTCCCAGGGAAGATTGTCAATTGACGGACGTGGCTTCTCCTGGATCCCAAGAGGAAGTTCCTCCTCCAGAACTCTTTCCTATTGCACTTCCCCAACCAATGGGAATTCTCCAGGAGTCCCGCAGCAGGCCGAGGTGGACAGCAGGAGTCTAATATCCATATGAATGTAAATCTTAACATAATCATGTCATCTCAATGGCTAGCTGGCGTCACCTTTCAACCAAAAATGCCATGCATCATATTACTTGGCTGTGGCTCTTAGCAAAGAGTCTCTCTCTCTCTCTCTCTCTCCTCTTCCTGATCATCATGTGAACTGCTTCAGCAATTATGTTCTGCCTCACCTCAATCCAGAGGAATGGATCAGACTTCTATGGACTAAGTCCTCTGAAACTGTGAGCCCTTAAATGAACATTTCCTCCTCTACATTTGTTCTGATTGGGTCCTTTATTCTCAGCAATGAAAAAACTGATGAAAACAGTAAGCTAAAAAGTCATCTATAAGGTTTGGACTCAAAGATGTTTTAGGAATATCTTAACTGGTATTCTGGTTTATCTTTTATATTTTGTAAGTATACTATATCTAAACAGCTCTTTGATTATGAATAAAAATTATAACTAATAAATAAGTGTTGTATCTTGACTGGCAGCCCTTTTTAAGAGTTGGCAGTGTTTTATCTTTCATACTGATAAATAAATGGTGTATTTTACAATTGATGGTGTCTTGCATTCTGTGTAAAAACAGCATACTGTTGTTAATTTGGTGTAATTACGTTTAATGAAAACTCAAATATGCATTGATTTTTAACTATAAATTTCTTCAATTTAATACTACTTATTCATTTTTATTGAACCAAACAATTCTTCTTAACCCTCACTGATTGCCAACATTCTTCAGATCCTCATTATGTTAGAGCCACCTGTATTTTAATTCTGGAGGGTTCTGGAGTTTGTCTTTGTTTATTTTTTGTGTTTGTTTATTAATGTAATAAAAATACTTGCTAAATTATAAGTCCATTGTGTTACTTCCTCCTGGCTTTATCTGTCTTTTTTTCTGAAGTTCTTCCTCCAAGAGTAATATCAAAAGTTGTCTTTGCATGATATATTTTCTTAGGTTCAATTACCACAGGCTTATAAAACAAAGACATTTCACTTTCATAGATAAATTTTAACTTATTTTAAAAAAATATATACTCAAAGTTATTTCCTATACAATTCCTTAATATAGTTGGGAGTAACTATTTCTTAATATCATAGATTAAGTTAACACATACTTCATTCTGAGATACACCAATGTATATCCCATTCAGTTGTCTGACATTGAATGGGATATACATTGTCAGTTTCACTCTGTCAGTTGTTAGAGTAGTATAGTGAGATGTGAGGTTACTCCATTACAGTAATTCAAGATGTCAATGATCACTTTCAATCATCATTCCTTCCCTTACAGCTATCCCCGTCTTTATGTACAGAGGATAATCTCCAGATTACAGATAACTAAATTATACCATGCTGTGCAATAT